AACGCGTACGCATCACACACTCCGGCAACATTGGAATACAGACGAAGAATAACAAGATCTGTCTACCAGCTGTCCACACACCGGAAACCCAACAAAATCTCCTCTCGGTACACGACCTGACTGCACACGGTCATGTCACATTCACAAGAACACACGCACGACTGCATGAACCGACCAAGATACCAACAGCCATACTAACGGCATCCTACTCGAAAGGACAATATAGATTCACAAGTGAGACACAGCCAACCGCCAAAGGCGCACGTACGTACCCAAGTAAGAAAAGAACGATAAAAACGAAGACAACTTCCCAAAAAACAAAAACCAAACAACCAGCACTCACAAAAAGGCATACACACAGCACCCCGTACTCGGGACCAACCAAACGCAAACCCACACTCCGCACCACAACAGCACCCCAAAACAAAGAAGCGAAACGGAACGCCACACAACAACTCATGCACGAGTGGCACCTCAAATTGGGCCATGCCCACCCGAAAACCATATCCATAATGTCCAAGAACGGCCTCTTGCCACCCCTACCGAAAGGTCTAACAGACAACAGCGCACAGATAACCTGCAGTGGCTGTATTGACGGCAAAACGACAGCCAGACCCCACAGGAGAACCAAGCACCACGCAGCAAGAGGAGACAGCCTCTCATCGGACGTATGTGGACCCATAAAGCCGCCATCCACACACAACGCTAATTATTTCATAACAATAATTGACACAGCAACACGGCACCTATGGGTATACTGTCTCAACAACAGAGCACAAGTCCCGACGACAATCATCCACGCTATTGAGCACATCGCCGCCCAGAACAAGCGGTACCCGCGACTTCTGGTAACCGACAATGCAAAAGAGTACCTCGCCGAATCAGTACAAGAAGAGCTCAAAAAGAGAGGAATTCACTTTCGCCCGACTACCCCATACACTCCTCAGGAGAATGCGCTGGCAGAAAGGATAAACCGCACGCTGATGGAGAAAGTGAGAGCGACACTGTCGCACAGCCAACTCCCAGACGCACATTGGCAGGATGCACTCTACGACGCGGTATTTAAATACAACTTAACATACCATCACGGCCTGAAAAGCATCCCGCACACAGCATGGCATGGCACCGCACCGCAAATGCAGAAAATGTTCACATTTGGACAAGTAGGCTACACGCCGATTCTCAAGCCCAACGCCCCGAAGCTGCAACAAAAGGCCACCCCAATAAGATACATGTACGGAATAGACAACACACATATGTGTGCAACACATTGTCACACGCAAATACACAAAAATGCGTGCAGACAACTTCCGTCCGTACCACCAACACAGGGAGCCCTGCACGACCACAACAGCAGCCTTCGCAACTCGCACACAGCCCCGACGAAGCCAATCGCAAATGACACAAAACGCAAAGAAGAAAACCCAACACAACCGCAAGCGCGCCACGCGCACAGTGCCCACAAAAATCGACAGAACAACCACACCGCCGAAGAAACTGAAACAAGCGCGACTGTACCCCGACGCGCACAAATGGAGCATAGCGCACGACGCAGAATTGGAGCAAATAGACGACATGAAGGCGATAGACTGGGCATCACAGAAACCCAACCATGCACGCACAGCCATCATCCCGACCACTATGACCTACCGATACAAACATGGACAAGGGCAAGGGACCACAACAAGGAAAGCGCGATGCTCGATACGAGGAGACCGCATGAAACCCCACGAGCACTACGATCCCGAAAAAACGGCCACGTACATGGCAGACCGCACCACGATCAGAACGCTATTCGCCATAGCAGCCTCCATGAATATGAGCATCGGGCATTTCGACATCACTGGAGCATATTTGCATGAGAAATACCAACACGAAAACCGAGTATACGTGTGGCAGCCTCAACGCTTCGATGGCACGTACAAACACAGAAGCACACATGGCGAGCTGAAGGGCAACTTATACGGGACTCCAGCGGCAGCCAATATATACAGTACAGAGCGGCACCATCACCTCAAACGACATGGTTACAAACAAATGAGATCGGACACCTCACTGTTCACAAAAAAGCAAAAAGGGCACACCATACTCGTAGGTATTAGCATGGACGACTTCCTTCCAGTTGCTACCAGCCAAGCCCTCATCAATGACCTATACACAATCCTGCAAAAAAAGTACAAGGTCAAGAGAATGGGGCGGCCAAGCAAGTACCTCAACTGGACAATAAGGTACAGCCAGGAAGGAATACACCTGTCCCAACCAGAGCACATCGACAACGTTGTGAACCTCCTTTCCCAGCAAGAGAGCAACACCAAGAGCACCCCCTATCTGGACGGCATCAAAATGGATCCCCCAGCAGAAGGCGAATAAAAATGTGAAGAAATCGCCGCGACATACGAAAAAGCTGTCGGAGAAATCCGATATATCGCGGACAGCACCCGCCCCGACATAGCATTCGCCACCACTTCCCTCGCCCGAGCACTCAAGAAACCAACACGCAGACACTGGAAACTTGTACAGAAGCTTGCAAAATATCTGAGAGCACTGAAGGACGAAGATATACTCATGCCCTCGAATAAGGAAACAGAAGTGACAGTCAACGCATACTCCGACGCGGACTACGCGAACGACCAGACCACCAGGAAGTCAATCACAGGGATGCTAACCATGGTCAACGGAGCCCCTGTACAATGACTGGCGAAGCAGCAGCCAGTCGTGGCGAAGAGCACCTGCGAGGCAGAGTACATAGCAGCGGCTGAAGCGGCAACACTCACGACATGGCTGCAAAAACTCATCACAGAAACGGGGATCACAAGCACCCGCCCCACCATGCACATCGACAATACCGCCGCGGCCCAAATGGCGAAAAGCATGGGGGCCACACGACGCCGCAAGTGCATAGATGTCCGCTACCACCACCTCCACGACATCGTACAAAAGGGAGAAATCACAATTCGCAGAATCCCCACAACGGAGCAGTACGCCGACATCCTAACAAAACCCCTCAAGGCAACGCTGTACAAGCGGCACAAAACCCACATACAGCTACGCCTACCACCCCACTTACGCCACAACGACTCGCGCACACCACCACTCGCGTCAGGGGGAGTGTGGTTACATCCAGAAAAACAAAAGCGACGCTCGGACGGTGTGCGCGAAACACACACTGCAAAACAACAGTAGTTACATCCAGACGACAGTACGGCACACTCCAGTAATAAGACATAGGAATAGGGCATACCGTAGTCGCAACGCAATAAAGTCTCCGACGGCCACCCGCTCCCCCGGGGATCGAGGGGCATCGGAGTTCACGGAACCACAAAACTCCACGAGAAATAGCACGCGTCTGTAAGCACTTACTGACAGCTGGGCGTCTCGCTGTACCCGCCTCGCCGCCGACCCATAAGAGCAACTCCACCAACACAGTGGCAAACGAGCAAAATACCAAATTTGATCAAATTTGATAAATTGCTCATTTGTATACTAGTTTGACTTCCCCACCAGACCGAAAAAGTGCCAAAAAATATAACACCGCCGAAATTGCCTCGAGCAAATCAGTCCGATTTGCTCAAATGACTCTCACCCGAAGTTCTATTTCAGCAAATATTTTGGTACAAGTGCTGCATTATGATTGGTCAATGAGTGGCGCTAAACCGAAACACCTTGAAATCCGAGAAAAGTTCAGTTCTTCGCGCCTTCACTTTGCGAGCGAACATACACCGAGCACCTCTTTACTGCGTTGCATCGCAATCCATCTCAAACCCACCATCGTTCACAGCACTGCAGAATTTTGCTAGGCACTCCAACGCTGTAGATTCCCCCATCCGGATGTAATCGTCAATCGAGTCTGCGCAACAGCCGTATGCCAACAAGCGAAGGGCTGCCGTAGTTTTTTGAACCGTCGTGAAACCCTTTCTACCTGTACAGTCCTCTCGCTGCGTGAAGTATGGATCATGGGCTTGAATACGTTCAACAATTTGGTGGAATACCGCAATAGAGACGCGAAAACGTCTGGAAAATGGTCAGAAGAGTACACCGGGCATTCTGAGAAGTAGTCGAGATGTAGTCTGTGCGCTGCTTCTTTGCGATTGCGATTCACATTGGGAGACTTTCCCGGGACCGAACCACACCAGCGCCTCGCTTCTCCCGCCTCTTCACCGTCGATCCCGAGAAGTGTCTCTGTGATGCTCTCTAGTTGATCATCTGCCATTTCTTGAAACCAGATCCCGTCCATGATTTGAACCCTGGGGCTGTACGGCCTCTATCCTCTAAGCTCTCGCCGGTGGGAAATGTAATATGTATAGCAAATGAGCAAATTTTGAAATATAGCCCAGCCAATAAAGCTTGTACAACTGTGCAAGTATTTTGCTCTTTTGCTAATTTGTTGCACGCCTTGGTGGAGATGCTCTAAGTAGTAGAAGCGAGCTGTCCTATCCCGCTACCTCTCCTCCCCATGTCTATTTCTCTCCCACCCATCCCCGGCACTGCCGCCCTCGTGTCGTGTCTCCTTTTTCATCATGTCTTTTTCTCTTTCTTTGTTTTCCTTTTGAATCTTTCGTCCTTTTTAATGTTTCATTCGTCCTGTTCTACTGTAGCGCTACTGTAGCATGTTGGATCCTGTTTAGCTGATGTCCCACTGACTATCAACCATCGTAAAACAACGAATATCTTCACATGTGTACATTGGTCGTGCGTGATCCATAAAGTGCACGCAGCGTGCATGGGGTGAGATGTAGCATGCGACTCTCTTCTCGAGGTGAAGGGAGAGGGGAACAACAAAAACATCTTGAACAGTAAAGCAGAACCACAACACCCGCGAAGCCACACGCCACTCCACCCTGTCCTACGGGTGGACGAGTGGACCGAAGCGCACCTCGCTCCGTCTCTAGCCGCGCCTCCGTGCTACGAGACGCGCTGTTCCCGTTGTCACTCTCCGAGCTACGAGAGGACACACAGGGACAACCACACCACATACACACACACCGTACACCCTCCCCCCCTCAACTGCGCTCCACCGTCACAAACAAATCCCCGCCACTACCACCATACGGTAAATTTCCATTTCATGTTGCTGATGAGGAGTTGGCTCATTCCCCTTTAAGAAAGCGCGAAGTCAAACAATCCTCACGCCACCCATAAAAAATCCCGGTTAGGAGCGGCCCTGTCGAGAGACCACTCTCTCACGTGACAAACTTACGGACTAAGCGCCGGAGAGGCGCGCGACAATCCCCTAAGCTGCGCCCTAGCAATATCCCCCCAGTACGCCACCATCGAAAAGTCGGCGTTGAAAGTAGCGCTACTAATCCCCCGCAGCAGCTGCATCGTGCGGAGCAGGAACACGAGGTCCTGCGGCAGCTCGTCCACGGTGGCAACGCGCAAAGCGCTGTCCTCCGAGAACGGGTTGTCCGACACGCCCGGCACAGCCGCCGTGTCGAACATCGTGTACGCAAGCTGCTCCTCGGCCGTCAGCGTGGTCTTCCTGCACTGCCCCCTCCGTGCACGCTTCGACGCCTTGATGTGGATGCCCAGGCCCTCTAGCCCAACCCGGATTCCCCGCGTGTCTTGCCGCGACATTGCGTCCACTAGACGTGCGAATGCTACCCGCTGCTCGCCGGAAAAACGTTTCGTCTGTCCGAAATCGAGAAGCCCAATGTCGATCTTGGCGTTTCTCACAAGGATGTTCCCGGGGTGACCTGTGCGTCAAGCAATTCAAAACACGCATACTCACAAGTTAGGCCTCAAAAATAGAATCACGACGAAAGACGGACGCGTGAAGACTCGATCTGCACTTACAGTCTGCTTGAAAGAAACCGTCGGACAGAATCATTTTGCCGTAGCATGCCGTTAGGTTTTCAAGCACCTTGCGCCCGATTCTGCGCACAACTCTATCACTTCTAAACTTGCCGAGCTTCCCGTCCAGCTTTGTCAAAGGCACGCCGTCCAGGTAGGTCATCACTAGCAATCTGCGAGACACAAGCCCCGGCACAGCTGCCGGCACGGACACACTACGGTACTGCCGAAGGGCACGTCTAATCTCGTCCATGCCCTCCGCCTCGGCGACAAAATCAAACTCCATAGCCACCTGCTTGGCGAGCTCCTTGACGGGCCCGATAAGGTCAAACTTCAGTTCGGTCCTCTGCAGCACCTCTGCGAGTACGCGGTAGTTTGCTAGGTCGGAAAGCATCAGCGCCTCCATTTCGGGGAACTGCACCTTGACCGCCACTTGTTGCCCGCCGCGCAGCTTCCCGCGATGCACTTGTGCTATGCTTGCGCTACCGAGTACGTTGTCTAAGTTGAGCGACTCGAAAATCGCGCTCGATTTGCCCAGTTTTTGTAGCTCTTCATCGATAACGCGGCGCGATTCCTCCGCAGACATGGGGGGCATGTCGTCTTGCAAAATGGCCAGCTTTCTCCTAATGACCATCGGGACAAACGCCTGCAACGCAACGAGTTGCCCTATGCCGAGCGGGAACGCCATGAGTGTACATGTGAGTGTGACGATGGCGTCTCAGAGTGGACGGGGGGCCGCAATGGGCGGAAGTGCGACGTACCTGACTTGACGTAAAACCCCTTCAGCGACGTGCAAAGGTCGAGCATTTTATCGCCCGCACGGACATGTTGCTCGCTCCAGACCTTGGCGGGCCAATCCGGCTTTCTGAAGCGTCGCTGCAGCGCTACGTAGGCCTGTGTGACTTTGAAGGAAGTCCAGATGGCGATGACGCGTCTCCAAAACTCCAAGGAACGCCTGATCTGTCTCGAGCGCACGGAAAGGGCGTTCAGATTGGGAGTGGCAAAGGCCACGGGCACATGGCGGGGTGCGACGGAGCGAGGGCGGCGCGGACAGACAATTGAGGGCCCGAACTGGTAGGGTAGGGGCATGGCGGTGCCGAGTTACTAAGCGTTTTGCTTCGGCTCTGTCATTGCGGTTAATGATGTATTGCTACCGTCCTGATCGAAGCGCTGCTCCGAGGCGAGGCTTCGTTCTTATCGAGGTCTTGGACGGAGCCGGGTGCTCTCACGAGATTGTCCTATCGGTCATCCAAAGCGCAATTTCATCAAAATGTTTTGGCAGTAAAGGTCGGAATTCTTTTTGTTGGTGAGGGAGTTCCTTGATCCACCCGGTATGCCAGCGTGCCTTGCATCTTAGCCACTCCTTCGCGAAATCATGAGCCACAACAATCCCTTTCGGACAAGAGGGACAAAAAAGGTGACACAGCAGCAAAACATTCAATGGCACTGCCGCTCTCTCTCGACAAAATTTCTCTCAACGATCCCCCGTGCGCCAACGCCCACGACGTCCTTCTAGCGGAAAGCGTAGCCACCCTCACCCGTGAGCTCAGCGGCCACCCCTCCGGCCTACTTCTGACCGGCTTTGACCGTCCCACGCGACGCCAAATCGTCTCTGCGGCAGTTTCAGATGTGTCCTTCATCTCGTGCGCGCAGCCCCACCACGACACGACCTCGGAGCTGGTGCAACAGCGAAGGTTGCTCTGCTTAGACGATCTCGATTCACAGCATGCTGAGGGGCTGGCCAAGGGCATCTTCACCCGCTGTGCTGGCACCACTGTGCTCGCGCTGGCCGCGGATAAGAAGACCGTGTCGGCGTCTTTGCTAAGGGCTGGGCGCTTGGAAAAGGTCGTGCATATGCTCCCGCCGCCGCGGAGCACGAGAGAGAAGGCGTGGCGGAGTGTGCTTATACATGTGAGACCAGGAAATGGGGAGAAATTGGATGTTGACGAGAAGGCAAGAGAGTTGGCAGATTGGTCGCCAGGGTTTGCCCCCAACGATTTTCGCCTGACGCTGCTCAGGTTTCTTGCGAAAGGGAAGGACGGTTGCGAAGGGTATGCGCGGCTGAAAAAGGTAGTTGCGGCGCATCAGCCGAAAGCCGGGACGCTGGAGCTCGATTTTGTGAACGCAAGTGCTATGTCGCCAGGGGCTCACGCGACGACGCACTGGGACGGCGTTGGTGGATACGCAGATGTGAAAGAGATGCTGGTGCGGTTGTGCGAGTGGCCGGTCCGACACAAGGACACCTTCAACAGACTCGGAGTAGATCCACCACGCGGCGTTCTATTGCACGGGCCGCGCGGCTGCGGGAAGACGCGGCTGGCGCTTGCATTTCTACGGCGACTGCGCTATGCAAATTGGCTGCACGTCAACGCGCCGGACGTGTTTTCCAAGTATCTCGGCGAGTCTGAGGCGCGTGTAAGGGCGCTGTTTGACCGTGCGCGGGAGTTGTCGCCGTGCGTTGTCTTCATCGACGAGCTCGAAGCGATGGGGGGCGGGCGGATGGCGGGGGGCGACGCGGGAGGGACGGGGGTGGAGCAGCGCGTGCTCGGGTCGCTGCTCACCGAGTTGGACGGCGTGACGGGGGGCGATGTGTTTGTTCTCGCGTGCGCGGGCGATAAGAATGCGCTGGATGTAGCGCTGCTCAGGCCCGGACGACTGGACCATTTGGTGGAGGTGAGGCGGCCCGCGTTGCAGGACCGCGAGGAGATTCTGCGAGAGCTTTTGCGCGGGGTGGCGGTGGGACAGCGTGGGCGCGTGGAAGAACAGGAGGGCGTGAAGGAGGAAGTTGTGAGACGGATGGCTCGCGAGAGTGTGGGGATGAGCGGCGCGGACTTGGAGGCGCTGTGTCGCGAGGCGGCGATGGTGACGATGGAGGAAGTAGAGACACCGCAATTTGTGGAGATGAGGCACTTTTGGGTCGCCAACGAGCGAATGCCGAAGCGGTCGGGCTCCCTCGCCGGCTGGAATGCACATGGGTTGTGAGGGCAACATATCTCTAACGTTGGGCACAACAACGATGGCGTTTACAAGACTAGGCGAATAAATAACTCTTTGACCGCCGCCATGGTGAATCAACGGACCGACAAGGTTGCTCCAACCTTTGGCTCCAGGCGCGCCTCTTTCTTTTGCAACCTCTCCTCGCAAAGCTTTGCCTTGATAAACTTGCCAAAATCCTTCCACACCAGCTCAAACCCCATACTGCTACACGCCTGGTCACCTACGCCATTCCTAATCTCCCAATAAATCCTCCTCGGGCTGACGCAGCCCATCTGGACCCACGGTGTGATACGGATATTAAACTCCGCCCCTGACACATGCTCCTCCCCCCGTGTCGCCTTGCACACAAACGCGTTTAACCTTTCCAACGCGTGCTCCTCCCCCCCTGGCAGCGAGAGCCGTTCCGCGGGCTCAACCGCGACGCCCAAGTCTGCCGGGGTCGGAAGCTCTCCAAGCGGGACCTGTGGCAGCGGCGGCATTCTCTCAGGCGCGGACAGCGCGGGCCGTATGGCGACGGTAGCCTGCAGAGCCTCGCGAAAGCCAGTGTAGGCCTCCGGAGTGTCCGCCAGCGGAAACGGCAAATCGTCGAGATGGTACAGCGTGTTCGCCCAGAGCGGGACAAACGAGACGTTGGCGTCGCGCAGGGCGTCGGACACGGCGTGCTCGATGAAGACGAGCGGGGTCTCGACGTCGCGGTGGCACACGACCTGGTTCGCGCGCAGCTGGGCGCACAGCAGCGGGAGCACGGTCTCGGGGTGGCCCACGCGGATGAGGAGGTCCGAGCCGCGCGCGCGCAGGGCGGCGCGGAGGGAGGCGACGGCGTCGAGCAAGAAGCGGATACGGTGGCGGCCCGTGCGCAGGAAGGTGGACGTCGAAGACGTGCTCGACGACGGGGCCGGGCCGAAGTGGCGCGGGTCGAAGATGTAGACCGGCAGCGGGGTGACGAGCGGGTGCGACAAGGCGTGCGTGAGGGCCGGGTGGTCGTGCAGGCGCAGGTCCACACGGAACCAGACCAGCGTGCGCGGGGACGTGGCGAGGGGGGGCGCGGCGGGCGGCTGGTGTAGCAGCGGGGCCGGGATGAGGTGCGGGTGCGGGTGCGGGGGCGGGTGCGGGTGCGGGTGCGGGTGCGGCGGGGTGCGGCAGGCGAAGGGGGGGGTGTGCGTGCGTGGGCGGGAGAGCGGCCGGCGC